GCCAGAGCTTGTGACTGACCCAAGGTCACATCAGAAGGTGCAAGTGGAGGAGTCGGGGAATCAAACCTGGCTATCCAAGATTAGAGTCCGCACACTTAACCACTACACCAAAAAATTTTTGGTCATGGCTTTGGAGATTGTTACAAGTTTGTTCTGGGTCTAGAGAAAGGCTGCTTGTGTCTCCTCCTCCAAAAGAGGCATCAAAGGGGAGATAAACAGTCTCCCCACCCCAGGCTCTGCTGCAACAGCTTCCCTCAGCTGGACAGGGCCTTCTGCAGGTACCAACCCGCAAATGGGCAAAATCCACAACTCCCCATGCATGTGCCTTCTCCGCTGCAGCCCCCACCCTGGGAAAAGGTCTGCCCGAGGAGGTCAGGAAGGTTCCCCCTCTCCTGGCTTTCGGCAAACTCCGCAAAATTGAATTATTCAAGAGGGCTCCTTTACGGAGGCAATAGGATAGGCCTGGAGAAAAGGCATCACAAAGTTACTTGGATGAATGATTGGGGACTGCGGTCTGTACGACTGTGTACAGTTTGCTGTGAGCTGGATCTCGTTATGGAATCTTGCATCGTTTAAGGTGTCATGTTAACACTTCTACTTAGTTTCAGTTCTGGTTTTTTTTCCAGATTTCTGGTTGGTTCTACAACCCAAATCTCATCACGCTGTTTATTGAATATCCCATCCTGTTGATTTTATTGACTCACTCTGTGCAAGCAAGGGTGGACTATAATATAATGTAAATTCAAAAGAAAAGAAAAGGATAGATACAGGCTCCGTTCAGACCACACACAAAACAGTGGTCTCACTTAACTCTACTAACTATTGTTAGTTAGGATCCTTGAAACCAGGACCTGAAACCATGGCTTGAAGTTGGCTTACTAACTACAACTAACCTTACCTGTGTGGTTTCATGGGATCCAGGAATGCAGAAGAAATCTTGGTTTGTCCCCTGGAGCCACTCCCACGCACTCCGGAGCTGGTCACAGCTGGCCCAAGTGAAGGCAATGACATCAACATGCGTTGAGGGCAATGTTCCCTCTAAGCTATGGAGTCTTGTGAGCAAAAATTCTACTTCGTGAGCTACTGGCATTAAAGTTGTGAGCAGGTGATTTGGCGACTGCATAAATTGGTTTGCTCTGCAATGTTCCCTCTAAGCTGTGGAGTCTTGTGAGCAAAAATTCTATTTTGTGAGCTACTGGAGTTAAAGTGGTGAGTGAGCCATTTGGCGACTGCATAAATTAGTCAGTTCTGGAGCCATCCCTCCTGAGCTAAGACAAAAATCTTTGAGTCGGAGGCTAAAAAACTGTGAGCTGACTCACACTAACTCGGCTTAGAGGGAACACTGCTCTGGAGCCCTCCTTCCTGAGCAAAGACAAAAATGTGTGAGCTGGAGGCTCAAAACCCGTGAGCTAGCTCACACTAACTCAGCTTAGAGGGAACATTGGTTGAGGCTACCCCACATCTGTGCCATGGCCTCAAATACCAGTTTCATAAACAAACCCTAATAAAAGCAAACCATGGTTCCGTGTGTTGTCTGAACCGAGCCATTGTGTAAATAAGATCACAGTGACGTTTGTTTGCACTCCAGTCTGTGCTATGAGAATAATAATCTTCACCCTCATGCCGCGTTGTTGTAATGACAAGGTAACACAGGCAAAGAGCTTTCAATACCCTGTTGTCATATATAAATGCCACAGCCACTTGCAAGGAGGGGGGAACCTGGATGAGGTAAATGAAAGCAAGCAGACCTTCCAAAATGGCAAAAAAAGCACATTTCTGTTGTGGAACATCTTCCCCGACGACTTTGCAAAAGCCAGAACCTGAGACTGAAGTCTGACCTTCAGAACAATTTGTGGGCAAGTCCTCTCACCATTTCAGAATGCAGACAAAAGAATCGCGTGTCTGGACCAATGTTCCCTCTAAGCTGTGGAGTCTTGTGAGCAAAAATTCTACTTTCTGAGCTACTGGCATTAAAGTTGTGAGCGAGCGATTGGGCTAACTGCAGAAATTGGTTTGCTCTGGAGCCCTCCTTCCTGAGCAGAGACAAAACATGTGTGAGCCGGAGGCTAAAAAGCTGTGAGCTAGCTCACACTGACTCAGCTTAGAGGGAACACTGGTCTGGACACCCAATTAACCTCACACATGGAAAGCCAGAACCTCAAGATCAGAACACTTCTCCTGATGTACTAACTTTCTACACACGGGGAGACATTCATTTGGGGGGTCATTTGACCATGTAGTTCCTCCATCTAAAGGTTTGGACATACTCAGCCCTGATTTGTTAAACACTGCTTTGGAAAAAACAAGCAAACGGGTACATAAGTGTTTGGACTCAGTTTTACAGTATTGCAAAAGAATACAGTCGGTCTTTCAAGCAAAGCGGAACAGGTTAAAACAAACTTTTATTTAACAAATTATATTAAGAATACAGACTAAATCCTCACACACAAAAACTTCCCTTTGCAAAATACAAGGAAGGCCATCTAAAAATAAATATGAAAGGATATTATTATTATTATTAATAGGATTAATGAACAAGTTAATCCACTTCCAGCACAAACAAAATGCATAGCATCTTAAAAAAAATAGAAACAAGTACACACACAGTGACACACAACACAATCAAAGATTCCCAACCGTGTAACACAATGTTATTCTTTTTGCCTGTAGGATCTGAGCAAAATGGATGCTTTTTATCAAGGCATTTCACACAAGAGCTAAGAAACAAACTCTTTCCCCCTCCGGTAGTCCCACCCCTTAAAAAAAAACACCCCTGTAACACTTTTTAAGGAAAAAAGACAGAGCACTGGCCATGAGTGGAAGGTGATTTTCCAGCTCTCTCAACCTACAACTTTATTTCATAGGCCGTTTGAAAGACGGTGAGCTTACTCCACAGGATTGGTCCACTTTGAACCAGTTCACACCATCAAGAGTGGCCGTTGAGATCACTGAAGGAAATGCATATGAATTAGGCTGCACATGTGGAGACAACGGGCAGATCTTTCCACAATTTCAACCAGTGCCTTTTCCGCTTATTCCAGAGACAGTTGCTTCTGTGCCCACCAACAGCCTGATTCACCCTCGTGTGCTGCCTGTATAATCCCGTTGTCAAGACTTGGCCCTGGCTGCCTGAGTGCAGGAAACTTAACTGCATGAATCTGTCTCCCCCTAATGGTCGCGGGCTGGGACAGCAAATTGGAAATACACTGAACATCCAGCGAGCGTGAGGAAAGCATGCACTGGGAAGTCATAACTGGCCAAAGTTTCTGAGCATGCACGCACACATAAAATTATGCTGTGTGCAGCAGCGATATGAGATACTGTACATGTGGGCTGCATGCTCCTTCCAAACAATGTGGAAAGCATTCATGAGTTTTGAAGAGGCCCAAAGCACTTCAGGCATGCAATCCCAGCAGCCACCAAGAGGGGGAGGGCAGAGGCTCACATCTTGGGCGTTTCTTAGCAACAGCCAGAGGAGAAGGGAGAGAACGTGTAGGCCTTTGTGTGCCCCAGATCTGCCACCTCAAGGGCCGGCGAGACTTCACAGGCATTTCTGCACAAGTCATTGCCGGGACCAGCCTGCCTACAGGTGAAATTGTGCTGACCCCAGGACAGCGACTTTTCCAGGTTTGCTAGGAAAGGGAATAAAATGGTGGAACGGTAGAAGACACTGTGCAGACAAGAAGACCTCCAACGTTCGAGAAACTGCCTACTACAACAACAACATTTTCAACATCTCTACCAAACACTTCAGATTTTTTTAAAAAATAAATAAGAAGAGTGCTAAATGTTAAATGTAGACCCAACCAACCAATTGGGAAAGAAAAGATGCAGTCATCACATTAAGAGGCATGACTGCACCACTCTGATCTAAAGGCTTGAGGGTCCCGTATCAATGCCTCTGAATATCCAGGACACGGGAGCAAGGAACTCTGACCCACCAGGCCCTCCTTGTCTGCACAACTCTGTGTGTGCGTGTGTGTGTGTATAAGAATCTCAACAATGCAGCACTACAGCACCAAACTGGAAGTCTGGGGAGCTGCCAGGGAGCATGCCCTTGAAAACTCTGAGAACTTGAGGGGACCACATTTTGGATGGCATCTCTTTCCTCAACCATAAAACATTCAAACTGCATTTCTGGAATGTATCTGTAGAACACAACCACACTTGTTAACGTGCCAGCGATCATCTTTGAGTACGAACAACACTGTTCCCCCTCTACTAGCTGCCGACGGCCGCACACTTCTCTATCAAATACTGCCAATACGTTTCAGTGCCTTAGGAAAGGGAAAAAAAAATAGCAGCAAGAAATAGGGTGGGACAGGAGTGCAGACTTGGAAGGAGCTGGAATTCTAGGGGCACAACGTGCGGTTTTGTTTTGTTTTTTGAGAGTTTGGTTTCAGCCCTCAGAGCTGAACCAGAAACACATTTGTCACACCTCGCCTAGTTACACAGGTGGCACAGATCCTGCAATGGCAGGGGACGACCTACCCCAGACTGAGATATCTGTGCAGCCCATTTGTAGGGCCAGAGGGGCTGTGCATGAACAGCATGAACATCCAGCTGTTATCTGAGCGGTCCAGCACATGCCCTGGGAGAGAACTACCAGTTGACAGGATTTTGCTACTTGACTACAATGGCAATGCAATCTTCCCAGAAGCTGGCCTTTCCTAAAAATGCAACTCTGGACTTGGGGGTGGGAGGCACCCTTGCGAAGAACAACACAAAATGGGGACTCTTTCTTGACCCGAGTGACCCGCTCAAGCTCTGCACGAAGTGTAAAAGGAACGGGTGAATGACAGCCAACCAACCCACCCACATTAAGAGCAACGTGACCATGGCAATCATTTGCATTTTAATACAGTTTGACAATAAGTATTTACATGTTCCACATTCAAACCTTCCCTCCCATTTGTTTCGTGCCCGTAAAAGAAAACCCCCCCTCAACCAACCCCCCCCCCCCCGAACTGCCTTAATGCAGTGCTTGTTCACTGGCAAGGGACTCATGATGAAGCAGCACCAGGGATCTGATAGGACTTTCCAAAATAACTTTTCAGTAACGGGTTTCGCCGGGACATGCTCCGGGGCTCAAAGGGGGGTGGCGGGAGATCCCCCACGATACGCATGCTGGAGGATGAAGGGTCCCTGTTCCTGGGCCGGACAAACTGCACCAGCCGTGTTACAAAGTGAAGTCTCAGGTCCTTCCAAGAAGGCTCCCGGAGGCACGCGTGGCAGTCGCTCTCATGTTAAGCAGCCGAGGGGTGGGTCAAAGAGGAAAGAGGCAACCAGACACATTCTCTCGGGCATTTTGTTCGTTGCCACGTTCAAGTCGTTTTGGGTGCCAGAAGGAAGCCGATGTGTCCTTTTAGGCTTGCGATGGGAGCCGCAGTTCTGAGAATCTCACAGAACGTCTCCGTGCAAACACTTAGGCCGATTCCTCTCAGTTGAAGGGGAAAAAAGGAGGCGACTGCAAACTCTGGGGAAACTGGGTGCAGGAGACCTTTCAGTCATAGAACAGAGCGAGGGTAATTCCAGGTTTCCTGAGCCAGAAGGAAGTCCAGGCCAGGAAAGGTCATTCCGATCGTGAATGAACAGTTGTGCGATTTTCGTCACTAAGAAGGCAAACAATTGGCTTTTCCCATCCCTCGTAAGCCAGCCCTGAACAAAACAACCACAGGTTTATAGAAGAACACTGACCCACTAAACCTATGAGTTTATTGTCTTTATACAAACTGGAGGAAACCTCTTTCATTGAGATACAGATCCAAGTTTAGGGCAGAGGATGTGTCATTGTTCTGGAGACTGATTTACCTGTGTGGGTAATAGAAACTGCAACGAGTTCCGATTCTGCTCTCTCTTCCAGGACGAACCACTTCCAATAAACTATGGATCATAGTTAAAAGTCAAGGGCCTGATGTCCACTCCTTCTATAGAAAGATGCCTTGATGGGATTTCAGTTATTAAAGGGGGGAGGATGTAAGAGAGGATGGACGGAAGCACCCATCGAGGTCTATGTTAATTCAGTTATGATGCGGAGCAATTCCAGAAGAGGCTGGAAGATCGGGACAGCTGATGGAAAAGATTAACCCCAGTCCAATCCGAATCTCCAAAACAACAACAGATACAACCCCCCCACACACCAGATTAAGACACCCCCATCAGTTGCACTGTACAAAAATGGTGATTCATTAGAAAAAAAATCCCTCTGCTGGGAGGGGCTCTCCAATAACACTGCTTGTCGGGACATGGGAAGGGGGGGGAAGAGGGCCAGGAAGTCTGCCCCCCCCCATTCAGTAGTACATGGGATTCCCTTCCAAGGAGCTGAAGGACCTCAGGACTGCGGTAGCTGCTGACATCTAGTGGGGCTCGGGGGAAGCCTGGCTGCGGCGCTCTGCTCCGTCCTGAAGCTGTAATCGTACTGCGGGAAACAGAAAAAGAGAGAAAGAAATGGTCAGACTGCATTCCTGGAAAATGACCGCTCTGTGCACCTGTCCAAAGAACAAAAGGAAAAAAACAAAACTGCTCAGGGACGAGTGCGCTGAGTGGACCCCTTTCCAGCTGGACGGATTTTTTTATTGCTCGATAAAAGACATTTCAGTCCCTTAATGCAGCCGTTTCGGTGGACCGATTAAATCTGCATCATCACAGAAGAATCCTGGTGAACAACAACAAAAAACCTGCCTTCGGAGTCAGCACACGCGTGTCGCAACGTGCCCCATCTCGAAAGAGGCATTCTGCCGGACACAGATGGGGGACTGCCGGTTCTAGCATGGTCTTTGCCACCTCTCGTTATGTTCTTGTGGACATAAATCAGAACTCTGCCGTTCAATTTTTTTTTTTGTCGGTTCATCCAGCTATTTGTAAACTCCTGTCCCACACCAGCATGACCAAGAAAGGCTATCTTGGTCTGGGTGATGCAGATGTAAGAGTGGGGCCACGCAGGTTGGATTCTCGAGTGATAATGGCCCCATGGGCGAGGATACCCAAAGTCTCTCACCCCGGCAGTCCCCCAGAGCCCCCCCATTTTACAGTCCCAGAGGGGAAAAAATATCTTTACATTTAGATCCTGCCTTCCTTCCATCCTGGCACACCAGGCAGTGTACACAGGACTCCCAGGCCCTCTCCCATCCAGGCACTGACTGTCCCCCCCATTCAGTACTACATTTTATCCCGATCCGCTTGGATGTGACCAAAGTGCCTTCTGACTCTACCCTGGGCCGGAAGTATTCATAAAGGAATACTTGTCATTAATTCTTCAATAACTGATGCAATGTGGCGTATTTCCAGGATTGACGTGTAACTGCACTGACTTATTTGCGACTTGAATTTCGCCTGCACGGTTCCCCCCTCATCTGTAATCTCCTCCAGGCGCTGACTTGCATTGCTTTGGAAATCACAGCGTACAATGATTGAAAGTTGAGTAACAACGTCCTCATGGCACTCTAGCAGGTAATCTGAGAGGGAGGGGGCCGGGGGGGGGACGACTACTGCCTACCTGAGACTCCCTGAGTAACCCTACAAACCCCCCCCCCTCCAGCTAATCGGGATGAAATTGGAAAAAGGCATCCACGCCAAAGCCAGCACTAAGGAAGTACGTATGGTAATACTGCCACCTTGTGGCGAAGCTGCCACAATACAGTAAAAAAATCTTCCTTTGAGTATTGTGGCCCATTGGTTGTTGGCCACTGCATTCAGACTTATTTTTCGCAAGAAGCAAGCAAGTTGACTTCCTGTTCTCAGACCAAAGCACCATCCTAGCCCTGAGTTGCCTCCAACAGCAGAAAATCATAATAAAAGCACTTCTATAGCACTTCTGACGGTTCACTGCGTTTGGCAAACTTTCACAATGAGTTTATAGGGTAGGGCAGGGTCACCATTACCCCCAAGTCCCTGACTGAGAGATAAGATGCCTTGTCCTTTGGGAGCTGAGCGACTGCTCTGCTGCTCTCTACGCCAAGCAGAAAAGAACATTTTCTTCTCACGCCAAGGAGTATGTTGTCCTGTCTTCAACAGGGCCCTTCTGCCAAATCATTATTTAAGGGGTCAGATTTTCAGCCTCCCTCCAAAGAGTTCAAGGTGGCAAACTCCGGATTATTTATTTATGTTCCAATTTATATCCCCTGACCTACCCTGCCGAAGCAGGCTCAGGGCGGCTCGCACAGATAACACACAGATTAACAATCATACCATTAAAAACCATTAAAACCATTCGTTGAAACAATACAATATTACATATTAAGCGTCAGCAATGTTATTCCGATAGCACAGCCATGGCGGTGCTGTGTGAGTGCATACCATATGCCGTTCATTTCCAGCGTTGATCTTACTCGACGCGCAAAGGCTGTCGATAATTCACCAGGAACCAGGCTCTACAGTTGTTACCGATGACAGTTACTAGTGATGGTAACTAGTAATGGTGGCGGCTCCTAATTGAAAACCTGGTGGAAGAGCTCCGTCTTGCAGGCCCTGCAGAACTGTAAAAGGTCCTGCAGGACCCTGATTTCCTCTGGGAGCTCATTCCACTAGTAAAGAGTGGCCACCGAAAAAGCCCTGGACCTGGTTACAGCCAGCCTGGCGTCCTTAGGGCCTGGGAGAGCCAATCGATTCCCTGACCGTAGTGCTCTCTGGGGTACATATGGGGAAAGGCGGTCCCACAGGTAAGTCGGATCCTGGCCATAAAGGGCTTTAAAGGTAAGAACCAGCACCCTGAAGTGACTCCGGTATGCTATCGGCAGCCAGTGCAGTGCTTACAGGGCCGGCTGGATGTGCTCCCTCAAGGGGACACCCTTCAAAAGCCTAGCCGCTGCATTTTGCACTAGCTGCAGCTTCCGGATCTGCGACAAGGGCAGCCCCATGTAGAGAGCGTTACAGTAGTCTAATCTCGAGGTGATCATTGCATGGATCACTGTTGCTAAGTTGTTGCGTTCGAGGAAGGGAACCAACTGCCTAATCAGCCGAAGATGGTAAAAGGCTGACTTGGCAGTGGCTGCTATCAGGGCCTCCACTGTAAAGGAGGCATCCAGGAGCACCCCCAAAGTCCTAACCTTCAGCACTGGCACCAATGGCGCCCCATCGAAGGTCGGGATTACCCCATTTAATCCTCACAAGCAGCCGCCAAGATAGGTTTGGCTGAGATCGATTGCTTTAAGTCTACCCTGGAAGCTTTTTGTTGCAGAGTGGGAATTTGAACTCTGATCTTCCTAGTGGAAAGTTCAACAGTCTTCCCAGGGCTATCGCTGTGGGGCTTTGGTGGGATGCAGGGGGGAGAAAAGGCTTAAACTGCCCCCACGGCTGCTTTCTCCATCTACCTGCCTGCTTAAAATGGGAGATCTGATCACAGACACGGATGCACACATTTGCCTTCTCCCATTTCCCTTTTTAATTTTTTTTGTATGCCGTCATTCTGAACACCTCTCATTTTAGTGCACACATTTGCTTTCTCCCATTTCCCTTTTTAATTTTTTTGTCTGCCGTCATTCTGAACACCTCTCATTTTAGTGCTGGCTTCCCCAGTGCATTCCCCCCCCCCACCATTTCAATGTTACCAGCCCTTTCTATGCAACTGATACGAGAAAGTAAATGTTAAATAAACTGCACAAACTTTGTGGGGAAGAAACTGGCACGGGGAAGCAGACGAAAAGGACTCACGAGTCTGATATGTACAGAGAGAAGCAAAAGCATCAAGTGGGGATGTTAGTTAAAGCAGCAGGCTGTGAAGCTTGGTGGCCGCCCCCCCCCCCCCCGGGTCTCTGTGTCTCAAACACTTTACCCTAAAGTGTCATTCTTACATTATCCCAGCAGTGTGGCAGCTTTTGGCACAATGTGAATCCCCCAGGAGCCTCTGCACACATTATTTCCCCCTCTCGCCTGAGGTGCTTCAGTTCCTGGAAGATTCAGCGCCACAACTGCCCCTATTGCAGGGAAGCCCTGGACTAAGTGGGAGGAGCACCTGCTGGGACTCCTCCCACCCCCGGTTCTGATAGGAGAGGGCACAACAGAAGCTCCTCCCACTTAGTCCAGGGCTCTTCCTATTCCCCCTGCAGTAGGGGAAACAGTGGTTATGGTGCCGCCACCAGTAGAATGCTAAGTACCAACTCTTGGGGGAATGCCTGCCTCTCTTTATAGCCTCACTACAGCAAGGCGCCTTTGCTCTTTGGCTTGAAGCTTCTACAGTTTCCATGGAGACAGTGAGACTCTGCCACTGGAAGGGCGTCTCCCAATTCCCAGAACCCTAACTGGTATGGGTAAAGGACATCTTTCCCCCCTGTCTCTCTCACTCTTCAACAACAGAGTGGTGGGAAGGAGTATTGCAGCTGAGAAATGGGGGGTACTGTCATTGAGGGAGGCCTCTGAAGGAAGGAAGTTGGGCCTGAACTTGAGGGCCTCCAACGTCTCAGTTATTAATACACACACCCCGTGGTTGCTCCCCACGTTTCCATCAGCGGCTGCAGTGGGCCAGTGTGCCACAGAACAGGGGAGGAGAAAGGTGACAAGCCTGAGGAGGAAATGTGTTGGGTGTTACAAGTCAAAACACTTCAGTATTTACAGGGTTAATGATGTTTGTTAAGTCACATGTTTGTTTGTAACCAATCTGTTTAGACAACAGAATGCCCAGGAACTTTGGAGCTAATTTGCTAGTCTGATTGGAAACCAAGGTGTCAAGTATTTAGCATATTGGCTTCTCCTCCCCTTCTTTGTTCTGACTGAGAAGGAGACGCCATTCCCTCTCTTCCCGTTTTACCTTTTAGCTGTAAGGATGTAGGCATATTAGCTCTTTGTTATTTTCATATCCTGTGTACCTTTTCCCCGTTAGGTTTATAGTAAAGTTTTATATTTTAATACACACCATAGACTCAGTCTCTTAATACTCTGCTGACTTACTCAAAAAGAATCCCAACAGAACGGGTAGAAACAGACACCGGTTGAAATCTCCACTGAGACATACATGAAGCTGCCTTACACTGAATCAAGACCGTCAATCCATCAAGATCAGTATTGTCTACTCAGACCAGGCGTGGCTCTCCAGGGTCTCAGGCAGAGGCTGTTCACATCACCTACAGCCTGGTCCTACTCACTGGCGATGGGGTGAATTGAACCTGGGACCTTCTGCATGCCAAGGAGGTCCCTTCCCACAGAGTCACCGCTTCTCCCCTGAAGGGTGACCTTGGGCCAATCACACACTCTGCCTAACCTCAACGGGAGCCCCTCCCACTTAGCCCTGGGCCTCCAGGACCTGAAGCACCGCTGGAAAGGGTTGTCACCAGGATAAAGTGGGGGAGGGGACAGTCACAGAAATCCTGGGGGGGGAGCGGGGGGGGGGAAGAGAGCAATTTAATCATCCCTGCTGTCCTGCCCAGCAGTCAATCACTCACCACAGATCACCCACGAGCCCCTATAGCTATTGGTGCCCATTTATAA